TTTTTTTTTAAATAGGACAACCTGGAGAAGGTCCAGAAAAGAACCACAGGAATGATCAAAGAGATGAATAAAAGGTCTTAGTGGAAAGGTTAAAATGAATTGAGGCTATTTAGCTTGGAGAAAAAGCAACTGAAGAACTAAGAAGTAACTTAGAATAACAACACTTGAGCTGGAAGAAATCTCAGAGATCTAAGTCCAACCTTTTCATTTCACAGATGAGGAAACTAAGACCCAGGGAAAGGTTGCAACTTGCTTAATATAGTTTTAGCACAAACTTTTTTAAGTTTCAATTTACACAGTGAAGAGAAAATTTACTCAAGTAGCATGAACATAAATAGCAACAAAAGTACTTACTACAACTTCCTGAAGATCTTCTTATAAGCCCAGAATCTACATGCTTAATGTTTTACTTATGTTTATCACACAACAAACTTGCAAAATATATACTATTTCCTTCCCCACTTTAGAAATGCGGACACTAAAGCTTAAAGAAGTAAAGTCCATTAAAAGGTAGAACATATATTCAGATGACCCTATATCAAGCAGCTTTCAAAAACCTAAGTAGAATTTAATAACACCGGCTCATGCACACTTAGCAACCATTCTCAAAGAAAAGGAACCAGGGATCCTCAGGGAAATTGTGGAATCTCAGGCTAGAGCAAAGAAAATACAAGAACCTGAAATATCTTTGGGTACCAGGAAATAAGGAAGTGTTCAAAAAATGATGAAGGCATGTAGAAAGGTACTTGAAGGAGTATACAATAGCCAAAGCTGAGACAATTAGATCAACAAAAAATTAAATAATGAGAATTATAACTCGTAGAAGAAAATAAATACCCATGAGCTCCTGATATAAATAAATGGAATAAGTAAATGGTGAAGAAGTGACAGCTCTTTCTTCCAGTAGAATTCCAATCAATAAATGTCGTAGTAATGATAGAAAGAGAAAAGCACCATTAATCATTACCACAGTAATGATTGTTGCAGTCAAGAACCAGCAACAGAATTATCATTTGAAGCAGCAATTCCACTTCTGGGTATATATCCAAAAGAATTTAAACAGGATCCTGAAGAAATATTTGCACACTTATGTGTATTGCAGCATTATTCACAACAGGCAAGATTGGAAGCAACCCAAATGCCCACCAAGAGATGAATGGATAAAGAAAGTGTAGTATATACAAATAATGGAATATTATGCAGCCTTTTTAAAAACAGGAAACCCTATTACATGATATAACATGGATGAACCTTGATGACATTATGCTAAGTGAAATAAGTCACAAAAGAACAAATATTGTGTAATTCCATTCATATGTAGCATGTAAAGTAGTCAAAATATAGAACAGAAAGTAGAAAGGTAGTTGCGAAAGGCAGAGGGTGGAGGATGACTGTTGAATGGGTAGACTTTCAGTTTTGCAAAATGAAAAAGTTCTAGAGATTTTTTGTACAACAATGTGAATATACTGTACACTACTGAACAGTACTCTTAAAAATGGTTAAGGTTGTACCCTGGCCAGTGTGGCTCAGTGATTATTTTGTTGGCCTGCACAATGAAAGGTCTAGGGTTCAATTCCTGGTCCAGGGCACCTACCTAGGTTACAAGTTCACTCCCACCCCAGTGTGGGCAAATTTGGGAGGCAACCAATTGATGTCTCTCTCACATCAATGTCTCTGTCTCTGTCTCTGTCTCTCTCTCTCTCTCTCTTTCTCTCTCCCCCCCTCCCTCCCACTCTCTCTAAAAATCAATGGAAAAAATGTTCTCGGTGAGGATTTACAAAACAAAACAAAACCAAAAAAAATGGTTAAGGTTGTAAATTTAATGTTATGTTTTTTAATCACAAATTTTAAATTAGTTAATATTATGTATCATTTTAAAAGAACCATCAATGGATGCTAAAAGTAGTGAGCAAAAGTATGATCAGAAACAGAATATTTGCATAGTCTTAAAGTATCTTCTCACAAGATACTAATTAAAAGGGGAAAAATGATAACTTTATAGTAGGGAAACCTGACAGACGCCAATTTAATAACTAAGTGATCAAAGTTAACATCACCAGTAATAAGACATACTGGCATCAGGTATCCTGGTATGATGCACTGAGACAGAAACATTACTTTTGCCAAAAATGCGTAACCTCAATCTAATTATAAGAAAATATTAGACAAACCCAAATTGAGAGACTACAAAAGGACATTGGGGGGGGGAAACTAGTAATATTGGAAAAAGGTGTGTTGATTAGTTAGTATTAGTAGTATTATATCAATGTTAATTTCCTGGTTTCAATAATAATTACACTATGTACATGGAACATTAATATTCAAGGAAGCTAGATGAAGCGTATATAGAATTTACCATTATTTATTTTACAACTTTTCTATAAGTTTAAATTATTTCCAAAAAAAATTTTTAAAGCAGGATCACTGTAGTATGACAACTTTAAGAGATTTAGGAAAGAGAGAGATGAGAGTACAATGTCCCTAGCTTTTTTAAAATAATATGGTTATAGCATTTGACACTACCCTAGAGATCACCTGCTACTACCACTCATCCAATGAAGGATTCTTTTATGTAATGCCTTTAACATACAGTCTTCCAACAATTGCTTCAATAGGTCTAGTAAGAGTAAATTTACTATGTCAAAATGCGTCCCATACATCCCATTATACTACAATTCTAATTAACACAAAGTTCTTCCTCATTCTGAGCCAAATTCGCCTCCCTGTTAGACATGTACCTGAGGATGTCATCCTGAGGCAGCAGTTTCTGACCAGGGGTTCTCAAAAATGGGAACATACACTGAGGTACAGTCAATAAGACAAAATGTCCAGTTTATTTACATTGACTAAAATTACATCTTGTCAGCATGAAATAAACCACCCTAAGTTATCTATGTGGATGCTTTCCTATAATGCTACCGCAGAGCCTAATACAATACCTGGTATATATCAGGTACTCCAGAAATGTTTATGATTCAAAGAATCAGGCACAAGTCAGAGAGTCATATAATGAGTTCCCCTCTCCACCATCTATGCACACACAAATAACAAATGATTTGGAACTATATAGTAAATTCTATTAAAACTTTCCAATACACAAAAGTAATAGAACATAGTCTAACTCTGAAAAACGATAGCTCCCTAACTACCCAGAGTAGATGCCTCTTCTGCCCAGGCATATCCTTCATTCATTCAACTTAATTTAATACCTACTCTGTATCTGGCTTAGTGAGAAGCCCCGGAAATACAAGGACAAACAAGACATTTCTTCAGAAGGGCAAGGTTTACATACTAGTTGAAGGGAATTACTGAATATTTTAAATATTTTAATACCTTATATTTATATAAGTAAATTACATAAATAGATACACAGATGCTCCTCGACTTACAAGGGGGTCAGAATCCAATAAACCCCCTGGACTTATGATGGGGTCACAATCCAATAAATCCACTGTTAAGTCAAAAATGCATTTAATACACCTAACCTACTGAAAGCTTAGCCTAACCTTAAACATGCTCAGAACACTTACATTAGTCTACAGTTGGGTAAAATCACCTAATACGATGCATACACTGTAGAGATCAGTTGTTTACCATCATGATCAAGTGGCTGACTGGGAGCTGCACCTCGCTGCCAATATTTAGCATCACAAGAGTATTATACCACATATTCCTAGCCCAGGAAAAGATCAAAATTCAAACCTGAACTACAGTTTCTACTGAATGCATATCGCTTTTACACCACTGTAAAGTTGAAAAATCTTAAATCAAATCATTGTAAGTTGTGGACCATCTGTAATTATATATCAAAAACAACTTTTTAATTGCATCAAATATAGAAAAGAAAGTTCATAGCTACAGAAGAAATTCATATAAATTGGTAAGAAAAATAAATTTCCCAGTAGATAAATGGAGAAATTATATGAGCATACAATATTCCCAATCTGGAATACAACTAGTAAACATAGAACAAAATGTTTAACCCTGACAGATAAGCAAGTAAATGCAAAGCAAAACAAGGTAACATTTCCTACCCACTTAGTTTAAATTTTTTTTAAATACCTAACTTAGGGGCGATAATGATGAAAAACTAGTTATATATACACTGCTGGTGGCAGTATATATTAAAACAACTTTTTGGAGAGGTAAACTGTTCATACCCTTTGACCAAGGGTATACCTGCCTAGGAATTTATCTTTAATAATTAAAAATAAGAAAAATTATATATCAAGAAAACAATAACAACATTAAAGTCCATAATGGCAAAAAATTTTGTAAATAATTTTAATATCAAACAAAGGCTAAGTAAATAGAATAACATGCAGCCATTTAAAAATGTAATTATGAAATCTATCTAACAACATGAGTAATGTCTGTTCCAACAAGTGAAAAGGTACCAGAACATAAAATTCTGTGGATATTTGTTAAGGTACCTAAGGAAAAAATTAGTACACACCCACGGACTAGAAAAAAAAAGCAGATGTTTTCAGCTTGAGGTCATGAGTGATTTTTATTTCCTTTATTATTAATTATTTGTATGATTAAGAAAAATCAGGAGAAAAAAACTTTTAAGGAGCATCCATGTTAAACTACATTCTAATAAATTATGTGTCAATGGTAAATTAAGGCCTCAAATAATTCTTTGGATTTTATGTTCGTAAAAAGAAAAAAACAAAGAAAGAAACATTTCTTCCCCCAAATAAAAGTGTCTATGAAAAGAAACGTTAACCCTGAGGTGAATATCTGGAAGCACTCCCAACAGTAAAAATCATCAGACTGTGGCATGGTATCCTAGGCTAAGTTCCACTGTTGGGGTATTTAGAAGCAACGCCCTAGACACCATACTGTAGGAATCAGTCCTGAGCTGGCACCACAGAGACCCAGAAGTGGTCTCATGAGGTTTTTCCATCACACAATTTGGGTGGCTAATCTATAAATACATGATATTTGCACATAAACACTAAGGTTTTCATACTAACCAAAGGAACAACAAACCTTACCTGGGAAGTGGCAGACAGAGTCCTGCCCCACTGTCCCCGTGTAGGAGACAAAGGTACCAACAGGCTGCATACTGGACCCCACTGGGAGATGCTAATCTGGTTCCTCTAAAGAAAGAAAAAAATAGTCCGTCAAGAATCTGTATCAGACTCCTTATGTAGAAGGCAAAGAGTATATACATATATGTTTAGAAATCCTGCCAGAACAGGGCACATGAAAAGAGAACATCTAAAACAGGACCAGGATCAAGCCTTCCAAAGCTTATCACTTTAAGGATAAGATTACCCTGCCTATTCCTGATCCATGGACTAAAAGAACTCTAGTAATAGCTGACTCAAGCAGAGAACATAGGCGCCCTCTCAGTAGAGGAACAAAATAAGCAGACTTCAGGCATATTACAATAAAAATATCATTTTATTATTGATTGATTTCTTTAGAGAGAGAGAGAAGAACTGGAGAAACATTGATTTTGTTGTCCCACTTACTTATGCATTCATTGGTTGATTCTTGTATGTGCCCTGACCAGGGATCGAAGCCACAACCTTGGCATATCAGAAAGATTATCTAAATAACTGAGCTATCTGGCCAGGATAAAAGTATCATTTCAATTAGAGTTTGCAATGCCTTTTCAAACTGACTTACCTGATAGTCATAGAATTCCTTTATAGTAAACAGTGCTGAGATTATCATCATCCCCAAAAGGATAAAGAAACTAGGGCTGAAATTTCTGGGGTGGGAAAACACACTTGGGCAAGTAATTTCCAAGACAAAAGAGATTAAATGGCTGAGCTAGACTGTGATTCAATTTTTCCCTCTGGCATTAGTGACCTCAGAAAGGTCTCTGGGCCAAAGTGAAAGGCTAGGCTGGAGAAAGGAGGAGCTCTACTTTGCTAAATGAGAAACCTGCTTTATTTTATGAACCTGAAACACATTCCACTGTGTAAATGGCATCCATGTACACAGCACTGGAAATCTCTATTCTAGGAACCAACTCTGGGGGAATCAAGGATTTCTTTCACTTGACCTGTAGACCTTATACAGTCATGCTGAGGACTGGATACACAAATTATTTGAACACAGTTTGCCAAGCATAAATGACAATGCCAGCGGCCAAAAATTTGGATTCTAGTTTAAACTCAGCTACTCTAATATGATCTTTACAGGTAATTTAACCTCTATGACGCTCAGTTTCCTCATAGCAATTATTAGTAATACTTATGAGCACTTACTACATACCAGGCACTTTTCTAGGTACTTTACAGGCACTTTTCTAGGCACTTTACTTATATGAACTCATTTAAACCTCACAATCATCACCCAATGACCTAGGTATATTGTTATTATCCCATTTATATAAAGAAACTGAGGTATGCGTATGTCACATAGTTAATAAATGGCAGGGTTAGGATTTGAACCCAGGCAGCAAGACTCCAGGGTCCAGGGCCATTTATGGAATGGAAGGGTCACGGGAATATCTCCAAAGTCACTTCTGGCTCTCTCACTCTATGACCTAGTCTTGAACCAATTAATCCACAGCATAGTATTGTGGAAAGAGCCATGTACTTGGAATTAAAACACTGATTTGACTCTTGGCTTCACCGTTAGTAAGCTACAAACCTTTGTTGCTTCTTTTATAAAATAAAGAAAAATCCCTGCTTCTCAGGATTTTAAGAAAAATCAACAAATGTACTTTGCAGTATATCCAACTCAATAAATATTAAGTTGAATCTGAATCTCCATTTCCTTATGAGTAGGCAGAATTTTAAACCTAGAGATACTTTCTAAAGTGTCTCACAGTTCTAAAACTATATTAACTGTTTCTAATAGGCCATTCATAACATTATTTCAAATGAAAAATAAAGAATAAAAATATTTCATTTCAGCTGAGGTTTGATCTGTTGAGACGATTTTCAATTGAGAGACAGTTACTGGCTTTTTGCTGACAGATTTACCAGAATCATTCAATGCCAGATGCTCCTTTCCTAAAAATAAGATAAAACTTCT